AGTTCACGTACTAAACCCTAAACCCTGTAAGCCCTATAAACCCTGAACCCTAACCTCGCAGGGTCTCTCGGAGACTTGAAGATCCTTTAAGTGAGTTCGCGGATTCTTACGATCATTCAAGGCACATTTCGCTGGTTTCAGGGTTACAACAGGAGAATCAACTAAGAGGTGTGACGGCTTTAATTAGGTGATACACCCTCCTCTAACTCGTAACACGCAAGAGTTCGAGGTTAGGGTTTAGGGTTCAGGGGTTTAGGCCCCTAAACCCTAAACCCTTAACCCTAAACGTTTAGGGCTTGGGGTTTAGGGTTTAGGGCACGGTTTTCTTTGTTTCAGTCCCAGGGGGCTTGCGAGCGTCTAGATTTTGGAGCTGCGGGCGCCCTTTCCTGAACCCTCAACCCTGCACCGCAGCACCCAAAAGCCTCCCGAAAGCTCCGAACTCGTTTTGTTTCATCCCTTCTGTTCTTGCTGAGGTTTAGGGTTTAGGGTTTAAGCTTTGCAATTAGGCTTTAGGGTTTATGGTTTAGGCTTTGCAATTAGGGTTTAGGGTTTACTGTTCTTGTTGAGGTGTGGTGCTGCTGCCCCTGGACTTTTTTGGCCGCTGTCGGGAGCAGTTCAGCTGGCTGCTGATTGATTTCATGCAGGCTCGCTGGGCTTAGTATAGAGGCCTAAACTCCAATAACCAATACTAGCTTGGTGGTTCCTTATTGTAGATCTACGATATTCAGATATCCCAAAACCCTATTCCAATTATTAAGGCCCGTGACACTAGTTGTTTGCCATGCTTGTCCCATCTGTCCTGTATGTATCTGCTGGCTTATTACCCCTAAACCCTAAATCCGAAGCCCTTATTACCCCAAAACCCTAAACCCTTACTACCCCTAAACCCCAAACCCTAAGTGCCAGGCGCTGACGTTGATCTTGAACCAGGGCTTTGAGAATGCAACCTTGGTAGAGCCCCTGCTTCACCACGTGGCGCCTTGGCCGGATGGGCTCTGGGATTGGGGTTCAGGGGCGAGTCTGAAATTTCCGGCCTTATGTAGCTTGCCCACAGGCCCCATAGTAGTTCCTTGTTGGGATTCCCTAATAGGATCCTAATATAAGCCACAACAAGGAACTACTATGGGGCCTATGGGTAGGGTTGAGGGAATGCAAAACGCGTAGGAACCCGAAGGAGATGAGGTTCTGGCAGCCTGCAGTCCAGTTTCTAGTGTGAAGCAGCATCTCCACGTGCTCTGCAGCGAGTTTAGGGTTTAGGGTTTAGGGTTTATAGGGTTTATAGGGTTTATAGGGTTTATAGGGTTTATAGGGTTTATAGGGTTTAGGGTTAAGGGTTTGTCGTGATGTATATTTGGCCAAACAGAAAGCGGAACGCAAGCTTTCGCTGTAGCATGTAAGCTTACAGAGTCTTCTTGAAAAGTGCGTGAGTTTCGCCGTCGCTCTCAGCCCTCCCACCGGAAACACTAAGCCCAAGAGGACCCTGAACCCGAAAGCCGAATCTCCTAATATGGGGGCCTTAATAATTAGAACAGGGTTCCTTGAAAAGGGTTCCTTTAAGGGTTACTATAGGGGTTATACTATAAGGGTTTAGTTTAGGGGCCTTAATAATTAGAACAGGGTTTGGGGGTATATTCTACAATGAGAATAAGGAACCTCCCTAGAAACTCCTATTCCCCCTACATGACCAAATCTGCCTAAACCATGATCCTCTGAAACCCGGAGCCCAGAAGCCCTTCTCCCCTAAACCTTGAACCCCCAGACTTTAGGGTTTGGGGTTTAGGGCTTAGGGACTAGGCCCCTGATATGAAAAAGCCATAAAGCCCTAAACCCCTAAACCCCTAATACAGGGGCCGCAATAATTACCAATACTATTGTGGAGGTGCCTTATAATTCTACGATAAAGGACCCCAGAACCTTGTTCCAATTATTCAGGCCCCTATATTGACCTGATGGGAGGTGGAGGATGCTCTCTACATGCATTCCGGCCAGTGGGCGGATCTCACTGCCGACAGATCGGAGGAGGAGGCCGTGCGTGAGGCTCGGATGGGAGAGACTGGGGGCTTTCAACCTATACGCCCTAAACCTATGTTATAGACCCCATACCCTGTAGTAGGCCCGTGTACACCCTAAACCCTACTCAGGGTGTACCTAAACCCGAAGCCCTATAAATTCCTGCACGGGGTGTGATTTGAGCGGATTGTTTGTAACACCGAAGTGCCTGAGTACCTTTAAAGTTATATATATATATATACATATATATATATATATATATATATATATGGGTATACGCAGCGTTCATGTGGGTGGTCGTCAAGACTAGGGTCCCCTTTAAGGTTCGCAAATTACATACAGGGTGCCGTATCAAGAGCAGTTATATATATATATATCTATATATATATATATACACCCCAAACCGACCATGATGTTGACAGTTACCCACGTTGAAAGTTGTCTTTCGGTAGGATTTAGGGCTCAGGGCTTCGAGTTTAGGAGTTAGGGTTTAGGAGCCTCAATCTCTAAAGCCTTGAAACTGCCAGGTTTGCCAGCTGTCGGGCCGTGATGAAACTTTCCGCTTTGCCGACGTCCCCGCCACTGCGATTTAGGGTTTGGGTTCGGGGAATGACTCATGGTTTTGTGGTTGGGCTACTTCGAGGGCAGACCACTGGCTTTTCAACGTTGCGAAGATAGCTTCCTTGACTTATTCAAGCATCCATGCTTGATGCATCGGAGGTGCGCGAAAACCCTGAACCCTAAAACCCTAAACCCTAAACCCCCTAAACCCTAAAACCCTAGACCCTAAACCTCAAAATCCGAAAGCCCTAAACCCTAAGATCCTAAAGCCCTAATCCGTGTAAAGCCGGAGCCAGGGATGACTGATGTTTTGGGTCTGTGGGTTTAGTACTTTCGGTTTGGCGCTTAGGGTTTTTGGGTTTGGGGCTTTGGGTTTTTGGGTTTGGGGCTTAGTGTTTTGGGTTAGGGGCTTAGGGTTTTTGGGCTTTGGGAGATAAGTTTCAGGCGTTGTTGTTGTAATTGGGTCTACTTGGACCCTAAGAGCCTGATCCTAAGAAGCATAGGTTTGTAGGGTTCCTTGCTTTCATTTCATCATATTGTAGTTCCTTTAACAGTAACCCTGGGGGCCCAAGTGCCCAACAACTGGGGTTTTCGGTCCCAAGTATCCATTAAGACTTCGAGTTGTTTTCTACGCCCCTACTATTTGGGCAGACGGACCCGTGGAGTTCAGGTTTCTGCCGGTTGAGAGTACAGGCTTGAGGCCTCAGTAGTTTTGGGAGTTTGGGGTTCAGGGTTTACAGAGCTCGGGTTTTGGGGTTCTCAGGTTTTTTAGGGTTGAGGGTTCAGGGTTTAGGGTTTCAGGGTTTAAGGTTTTTGGGGCTCAGTTTTTTTAGGGGTTGAGGGCCTAGGGTTTGGGGTGTAGGGTTTGGTGGTTCCAAGAGAATAAGGGGTTTGGGGTTTCCTAAGCCCCGAAGTCGACACCTTGAGGGCCTCTAAGGACCCAGGACTGACATATTAATTAGCTAACGGTTCTTGGTTCCTCTGCCCTGACATTTTGAGGCATTTGGTAGTTTTCGGGAAAGGCCCGCCTCCCTTCTCAGGTTTTCGATGTGGCACATTTTCGGAAGGAGCTCCGGCCTCTGGGCGTGGAGCACACCGTGACTTCGCTCCCGAGCACTTGAACATCTCCTCACGGTTCCCCTAAGGCTCAAAATAGCCCAAAAGCCTTATATTGTAAGGCTCTCTTTGGGCCCCAAAACCGTAGAATTTGCGTCCCTAGAGCCCTAGGGTTAGGCTTTCTGTTGAGTTCCGATCCCCTAATTCTTCTCCCGAAGCACACCTTGCCAAAGCTGCAGGACTTTACAGCCTGAGTCCTAAACCCTACGCCCATAGCTCTAAACCCTAGCCTTTAGGGTGTAGGGTTTAGGGTTTGGGGGTGGGGTTTAGGGTTTAGGGTTTAGGGTTTAAGGGTTTTAGGGCTAAGCTCAGGTGAGCTTCGACGACTTCTTGGAGCAAGGGGGTTCCATCGACACTCTCTTCCTCTTGTGCTTCGGCAGAAGAACTTTCATTGTGTAAGCTTCTAAACCCTGCATATGGGTTCCTGTACAGCTTTTTGTCTTAAGTGGTCCGTATACCAAGAATGCAGTGGTCTTCAAAAAGCAGAACCCTAAACCCTAAACCCTAAACCCTAAACCCTAAACCCCTAAAGCGATTTAGGGCTGGGTTTGGGTTCAGGGTTTGGGGCTTAGGATCCTGGGCCGGCTTGTCGGGCGCACGCGTAAAGCATTAGTTTAGGGTTTAGGGTTTAGGGTTAGGGTTTAGGGTTTAGGGTTTAGGGTTTAGGGTTTAGGGTTTAGGGTTTAGGATTCCTACAGGGTCCAAGTGAGGCCTAAGTGCCCTCCAGCCGAGCCCTCAACGTACGAACTAGCCTCAAGCTGACGTGACGACGCAGAAGCTTGCTCCACGAAAGTAACCCTAAGGGTCCAAGTAATCCTTATTTATGGCTTTTGGTAACAAAAACCCTACAATAAGAGGTACTTGGACCCATAGGGTAAGTTAATAGACCTCAGACCCCCACGTAGGTTCTATGTCTATACTGGCAGCCCTATGGCAACCTTCTAAGCAACACCAAACCTTCAAGGAATACCGACCCTAAGCCCTAAACCCCCACACCTCCAAGCCAGACCCCAAACATCCAAGTACTACCGACCCTAAACCCTAAACCTCCAAACCTCCAAGGAAGACCGACCCTAAACCTTGAAAGCCCTAAAGCCCCAAACCTCCAAGGAAGACCGACCCTGTAATCCCTAAACCCCCCAAACCTCCCAAGGAACACCGCGTTTCAGCCCGGTGGGGCCTGGGTCCGTCGTATCTTTGCAGAGCCGTTGCTCCACTGCCGGGACGATGAGCACTTCAACCGATTTGTGCAGCTCATCTCGCCATCATAGGGGCCCTTAGAGGGTTTAGGGTTTAAGGTAGGGGGGAGGGAGGTAGAGGGCCTTAAAACCAGTAACAAGGATCTAATAAGGCCCATTAAAGAAAGTATAGTCCCCTGGCCCTACCCCCGTCCCCAGCCCCCTTTGGGTCCCTTATGACACCACCTCGGCCCGAGAATTTTCAATCCCTAAAACCCTGTACTCTTCTATTCCAACCTAGTCTAGTCTATTCGGCATGGCAAATCCTCAGTTGCTTAGTGTTCCTCATTGTATGCATACTTGGAGGTTCATGGGACTGAGTTGGTTGTGACCAACACTATAAGTATAGTTACCCTAGGTCCGCTGTTGTCTTATTTATAGCCCCGGTTGCTAACCAAACCCTAAACGCCCTAAACCCTAAACCCTAAGTCCCATGAACCTACAAGCAGCCAAAACTTTAAAACCCTGTTCTTCTTTTCCGCAGGCCGCCTTATTTATTTAGGGGCCTTAACAAGTAGAATAAAGTTTGGGGGGGGGGGGGCGTATAACATACTATAATCGTAATAAGGAACCCCCAAATAGTGTAGGTACATACTTAGGCCCCTAAATTAGGTGCTCATCTCTGGAGCTCTTGCGTTTGAGCGCTGTTGGACTTCGAAGTTTTACGGATGGTTGCTGGGTTCAGGGGCATGTGGGATCCGGCTTTCGTAGATTTTGAGAACGCCCCATCCCGAGACCGCTAAACCTCGAAACGCGTAATCCCCAAGTCCCCAACTCTCCAATAGCGCTTCGCATCTGTGCATGCCTTGCATTGCTCAGATGGTTCCTTCGAACTGATCCCTAAACCCTAAATGCACCTAAACTTAGCAGGCGAGGAAGTGGCCTGTAACTTTCTGGGTTCAGGGTTTAGGGTGTAGGCCGCCCAACAGCCAAGCCGTCCTGCCAACAGCCGGAACTCAAGACCGGATATCCTAAACCCCCCTACATTTTAAGTCTCTCGAAGCATCTACAAGCCTAAATCCCCAAGCTACAGCACTTTGCAAACCCTTCCCCAAGACTAAAACATCGCCCCTAAACCCCAAACTCGGACCCCTTAACCCTAAATAAAGCCATAAAACCTTGAAACAGCCATAAGCCTGAACCCCAAACCCTGACCCCTCAATCCTAAAGCCCCAGAAAGCCCTAAACCCTAAACCCTAGGGCCCCCAAGCAGTTCTCAGGAAAGCCTTCGATGGGCGCGAAGTCTTTGTGAAGCGCGTGATCTGCCTCGCCGCAGATGCGTCGAGCCCTGGCCGGGGTTACTGTAGGGTTTAGGGTTTA